CGATCTACGTGTAGAGATAGGTATTCTCCAAAGTCTCGACATCTTCTTGTCCTTTCACATTTTTCTTTTATATTTCGAACCAACCCCCCTTTCGATTTCTTCCTAGACAATCTGCATATCTATCGGTACTCGAGTAATACGTTCAAATATTTCTGAATTGTTACTTTTTCCTTCACAGTTTGATATATTCAACGATATTATAAGATTAATATAATATAATTATATAATAATTATTATTTATAGATAATTCTTTATGTATATATATGTATGTGTTGGATATTTGATATGAAATTTTACAGTATTGTAATTTTATGAAAATTAATTGAATTGATTGAAAGATATTTGATAGAATTATTTTATATTTAATATTTTTATATTTGTTTTTCTTCCTTTTTATATTATATAACTTATAATAACTTAAAATAAAAGTTATATAAGAAAAATAATAATGAATATACTTGTTTTTCTCTAAAATTTCTTTTAATATTAAATTATTTGTAATATATAATTACGTTTAAAAAATAAATCATAAATTAAGCTTAATATAAATGTTCGAATATTTGACAATATTTCGATTAGTAATTTTTACTTTTTTGTTTTCCAAAAAATATAGATAAATATTAATTTTCTATAAATTGTAGTATTTAGAAGAACCAACTATATGCATACACAGAAAATGTAATATATTATTCAGAAATATTTTCTAATACGATTCTTTTCAAAATTAAACATATACATTTAATTTATTATATTCCAATTTATAGTTTCGCATCCCTTATAATCCCAAATTATAAATAATTATCAACAATACTTGTAAATTCAAAAAATATATATATATCAGAAATGTCACTTAAATAAAAATTAATATTAATTTATAAAATACAATATATCAAATGATACAAAATCATTTTACAAAATATTGAGTTGAAATCTAAGTATTGTAATTGCAAATTTGTCTTCAAGGAAAATAAAAAAAGTTCTAATAAAAGAATGAAACGTACAACAGGATTAAAACAAATATGTTTTGATTTTTTTTCTATATTTTTTATAAAATATTTCTAGTTATTTTATTTTATTTTTTTTTTTGTGAACGCGTAAAACTAGAATATACTTTTGAAAACAACTAATTGAATTATTATTGAAATTATTTACGTTTCAATTTGGATTAATACACTTTCGTGATTTGCACTATGTATATAATTAATTTGTGTTTATCCAAAAATCACTAATTACACTAATTATACTAATTACACGATATATACATTGCTTACAAAATTTCATGAACAATCAAGAAAAAGTGGTTCTTGTTAATATACCTGTTAATTAAAGGTATTCCCATTAGAAATTTTCTTTGGCCAGACAATCATTCTAATAAATATTAAATGTTAGTTAATATAATATAAATAAATAATTAGTCGATTATGTTAATATGATGAAACACATTGCTACGTTTAAAGATGAAGTTGAACTTCAAATGTATAATCTTACCGATTAATTAAAGGTTTACTCTTTTCCCATTAAAACCTTTTTTTTAACTAAACAATAATTCAAATAAATGTTTAATGTTAGTTAATATAATATAAATAAATAATTAGTCGATCATGTTAATAAGAAACACATTGATATACGTTTAAAGATGAAGTTGAATTTCAAACGTGTAATCTTACCGATTAAGCAAGGGTATTCTCTTTTCCCATTAAACATTTTTTTTTTGACCAAACAATAATTTAAATAAATATAAAATATTAATTAATTTATTGTATATACCTATATATAATTATTGTATATAATTGAACTAAATTTTTATAATCAAAAGTATAGATATTCTCATTGCAATTTCTCGATCATGTTAATACGAAACACTTTGATGGAGTTCAACTTCAAACGCGTGTAATCTTACCGATTAATTAAAGGTATACTTTCCCCATAAAAAAATTTTCTTAACTAAATAAATATTAAATGTTAGTTAATATAATATAAATAAATAATTTCTCAATCATGTTAATATGACGAAACACCGTGATACGTTTAAGGATGCAGTTGAACTTCAAACGTGTAATCTTACCGATTAATTAAAGGTATACTCTTTTCCCATTAAACATTTTTTTTGGACCAAACAATTATTCAAATAAATATTAAATGTTAGTTAATATAATATATATACCTATATATAATTATTGTATATAATTAAACTTAGTTTTTATAATCAAAAGTATAGATATTCTCATTGCAATTTCTCAATCACGTTAATACGAAACACTTTGATGGAGTTCAACTTGAAACGTGTAATCTTACCGATTAATTAAAGGTATACTTTCCCCATAAAAAAATTTTCTTCAACCTTTTCTTTCAGAAGACCTTTATCATTCAGATCAATATTAAATATATTAGTTAATATAATTATTGTAATTTCTCGATCATGTTAATACGATGAAACACATTGATACGTTTAAGGATGGAGTTGAACTTCAAACGTGTAATCTTACCGATTAATTAAAGGTTTCTTCTTCTCTTTTCCCATTAAAACCTTTTTTTTTAACTAAATAAATATTAAATGTTAGTTAATATAATATATAAATAATTTCTCAATCATGTTAGTAGAAAATACATTGATATACGTTTAAAGATGAAGTTGAACTCCAAACGTGTAATCTTACCGATTGCAAGAGCTCATCAAGATCAATTAGAGCAGTATGCTTGGACTATAGTCGACCGTTAACGATATATCAATTACAACGTAGACGTAGATAATGACTATTAATGACTTCATTCAGAGCGCAATAATTATAGACGAGTAAGCGTGGCGACAGATATGGGTCGTTATTGTTGCAACTTTCTAACTTAAACCTTCATACACCATCAATGAATTTTACTTCAAGTTATTGGAAAGAAAATGAAACAATGTATATCGAAATTTCATGATTTGATTATTTAAACCATAACCTGCTAATGGCCTTTTTATGGGATGCATTTTCAAATTGTTTTTTAAATAACTGCAACTTTACAATGAAATATATTAAAATTAAAATTGAAATTGTCAAATCGTACGTTGAATGTGAAATGAAAATATTTAACATTTGCACTATTTTATTTTAAATTAATAATTGATGATATAAAATAGAATAATTTTTATATTTAAATAAAAAAAAAAAATAATTGTTGCAAAAATATTTCTATTTGAATATTGAATATTTTTATTTATATATATTATAATTTAATTTAATATTTTTTTGTTGTTGCATTTTCGTATTGTGGCAAGTAATGGGTTAATAATATATATATGTATATGTATATATTGTTATTAACAATTTTTTTATATTTAAATAAAAGAAATAATTATTGCAAAAATATTTCTATTTAAATATTGAATATTTTTATTTAAATATATATTATAATTTAATTTAATTTAATTTTTTTTTTTGTTGCATTTTCGTATTGTGGCAAGTAATGGGTTAATAATATATATATATATATTGTTATTAACAATTTGTCTAAAAATGTCATTATTATTTATTATTAACTCCTATATATAAATGCAACATTGAATATCAGTGCATTTAAAAATATACAAAATCAAATTGAAATTATTTTAAAGCCGTCGGAAAAGAAAATTCGAAAATGAAACGAAAGAAAATTGTGGAAAAAAAGGAAAAGAAAAGAAAAGATAATATTACAATAAAAATATCTTTTTGACAAAAAGAAGAATAGACCCTCGTAAGAATAGTAAATCAATTTTAATAGAAATTTATGGTTAAAATGTTAACCATATGGATGGGATCATTTTCTAAAAAAGGTCTTGAGAAGTCACGAACTAAGATATCATGGTGTTCGTTAGACAAAAGGACGATCCCATGGGATCAATTTTCTACTTTTTGGTGGTAAAATTTCTATGATCATGTGGTTCTATCTAACCATACGACTACTAATGCAAAAAAGATCATGATCACATTTGAAAATATTACAAAAGAAAAAAAACCTTTCTTTTTAGTATTCATCAATCTGTCAGCAGTCTATTGAAATAAAATTTGATAAAAGGAAAGAGAAAAAAAAACTAAGAAAATGAAAAGAAATGAAAATTTTACAAGATGTTCAATTATTGAATATCATTTTTCAAATTTTTTAAGTGACGAGTGCAACAATAATGAACAAATTGAATATAAAAATGCAATAAAAAAAAAAATATTTTAAATAACACTTAACATTTAATGTTTTCAATCGTAGTTCAAAATTGTGAGATAGAAAAGTTATTTTTAAGCAAGCAAAAAAAAAAGAATAATATTCGTTTATATTCTTTTTATTTTATTTTATTTTATTTTATTCCTTTATCGAAAAATAGAATAAGAAGAAGAAGAAAGAGAAAAAGGGGCGGGAATAAGGGTAGAAAAGGGTGGATGCGTCAGAAAACGATTTGAATATTATCTCGACGAGAAACGTACTCCTAGGTATATAGAAACCATCTCGTGAAAGATAAAGAGAATGAGAAAGAGAAAACAACGTTGAAATACAATTTGAAAGACGTAATTCGAAAATCGTTGTTCGCCCGACGGCAGCGACCCTCCGTCGGACGTCAAAATGAAATTACGCGACCCTTGAAACGCGGGGACCTTGGGGTGTGGGCACAAAGGCTCGTTTGTCGAGGACACAGTACAACAATCTGGCTAAAGGGACCTAAACCACTAATCGTTTCGCGATTAACTTCCATTAAACGCTACTTAATGAACAAATCTTTCGCGTCATACCGCGAACAACTTCAACTTATCATCAAAGATGATGATGATGATGATGATGATTATTATTATTCTAATATTATTATTGTCTATATTATGCATTCACAAGTCAAATCGGATTGACTTATCATTGTATTACGTTTCATTTGTTGTATTTATTTATTTATTAATTTTTTTGTTTATTAAACAAAACGTTTACTTAGCGAATTAAATGTATGAATAAAGAAAAGAAAATAAGGATTACAAATATATATAATATATCAATGTATATACCTGTTCTTTGCTGCAGCAGCACGATCCCTCTGCCTTCGGTTTTTGAACCAATTACCAACCTGAGTCGGTGTTAGACCAGTGGCCGCAGCTAATTCTCTCTTCTTTCCTGGATTAGGATAAGGATCCTGAAGATACCATTCTCGTAGTAACGATCTAGTTCTTTCCTTGAAGCAATGAGTTTTCTGTTCGCCATCCCAAATAGTCCTTGGCAATGGGAATTTCTTTCTAACTCTATACTTGTCAACAGGACCCAACGGTCTTCCACGAAGTTTTTCCGCTTCCTGATAATGGGCTTCCAACCACATTGCTTGTAATTTACCATGGGAATCCTTAGTAAATTTATTTCTTTCTAATATATTGTATAATTCTCTATAATGTCCTGAATGAAAGGCAACTATAGCACGTGCTCTCAATACTGCCTCGTTTTGATTCAATTCTTGAATGTTAGGATGTGCAACTGGAAGACTCCATAAGAACCTAGCCAATCTTTCTATGTCACCGCTTTCTTCCAAGGTTTCGCAAACTGTGGCTACCTGACCGACGGTGAAGGACAACGTTGGTAAAGCAAAAACAGGAGCCGGAACAATCGGACCGTTTGGTGCGGGCGCCGCACCACCGGTTCCTGGCGGTGCCACTGCCGACATCTCGGAACCCGAAACTTTATCACAATATTCAACGATTAGAATTCAATCGTTTTCTTAATTACTATTACCGAGATGTTATAACACAGTCTATTCTTCTTCATAACTTTTATTGTCTCAGGATTCCCGCCTTTCCGATTTGTACTTTCTTCTCGACACTCTCATGACAGTTTCATATCTTTCTTTTTTTTTTTGTAGAAGAGAAGAAATATGAAAAAATAACTTCACTGATAATCAGACTCGATCGTAACCATTGAATAAATGTATCTGAATATACGTTGATTTATTTTTACGATTAATATCGTCACACTTGACAAGTCCACTTATTCAATTTTTTTTTTACACTATCTACACAAAAAACAATTCGATTTTGTCAACTGTCTTTCAATAATCATAATAATAATAATAATATAAAATTTTGTACGCGAACTATTTCCGCGATCAGCAATTTGAACAACAAATACGTTGAAAGATTTATAATTACGATGACAACAAAAACAAAGAATAATAATAATAATAAAAGAACAAAGAAGAAGAAGAAGAAGACTAATAAGAAGAACAGTAGTCCCACGAAGATAGAAGAATGAAGGACAATGGTTATCCCGATCGTAGGAGCATGTAGATTTGTACTGAAAAACTGTCCCCCGTTATCTGTTCTCGTGGACTAGGCAGCAGCAGTAACAGCAGCAGCAGCAGCAGCAGCAGCAGCTTTCACCTCGTGTGTCCTGGTCGGGTGTCAGGTGATTTCGTCCTATCCCCACATCCTGTCGTCTGTTCTTGGACCGAGATGCTTTTGGATCCTTCCACCTAGCAGGAACGATCTTAGCTCGTGTAGGATATATCGCGCGAGGCCGCTGTTGCCTGGATCGTATCGGATAGCAAACTGGTTTCGTTTACAAGCCGGCATCTCGGCACCGGCCCTACCCAGCATGATACGTTTGTACGCGCCCGTTGGAATCGGGTGGTAGTACCCCGACAACGGCGGCGGCAGCGGCGGCACCAGTTCGTAGCGACCTACCTCTACTACTACCTTTCTTCATCCAAATAACATTTCTCTCTTTCTATCCAATCCTATTGCCCCCACCCCATATAACCCTGCTACTATTTCCCTCTCCTTTCAACTCGGTTCTTGAGGGGGTTCACTATAGGAAGCTTTGGTTGAGAGGGGACTCCGGATTCCGGGGCGAATGTTTTCGGGAGAGAGAGAGAGAGATAGAAAGGGACTTTCGGTGGCCAATGAAGAAGCCACGCCTACCAGGAAGACCAGGATTGGCCGGATCCCATCCACGTATCCATGGTAACCTTTCTTCGTCCTTCCGTAACGTCGTGTCAGGACTGTACGGACTTGTGTCAGTTTAATTATCCCTACCAACCTGACTTTCCCGTATACTTCCCCCACTACTATGAAGTGAACACACAACCCTCTTCGTCGAGCATATCCCACCCATACTCTCTACTCACGCCCCCTCTCTCTCTCTCTCTTTTACAACCACATATATCAGGCTATAGAAATACGATAGGATGAGAGACAGAGAGAGGAAAGTAGGATCGATGCACGCTGCGGAAAGTAGGACGGAGATCGTGGAAACGAAACTTGGAGAGGGGGCAACATGAAAGAGAAAGAGAGAGACTAGCATGATCCCTCTAGCTCTCTATTCCCGCTCCCGTTACCAATGCGTTACTTCTGTTAGCGTGATCTTTTGCTTGAACCCAACAGAATCCTAAGAGAAAAAGAGATAGAAACTTCCTATAACCTCGTCCTAGTCTTCTTCTTCTTCTTCTTCTTCGGGATCTTCGATAGCGGGATAAAGTTGACAGAATTTTTGGTGGCTTTGGGTTTCTTCAGACTCTCTTCTTCTTTTTATTCTCACCGCAATGATTACTTTACTACTCGTTCCTTTTTGTTTCCATGTATCTTATTCACTCCTCCTCCTTCTTCCCCTGCCAATCCCCCTTCACCAACTCCTATCGATGTGGGCTCGTTTGTCTCGTTGACAGCCACTTTGCTCTTTGCTCTTATCGCGAACGATGATGACAGTTAGGATGTAGGTGCTCCTGCATGCGATTGGCTCTCACTCATTCTCTCATTTTTTTTTTTTTTTCTTATTGTAGTGTATCCTTTTCTCTCTTTCTCTCTGTTGGAAACAAGCTCTTCTACTCGCTGGGAATATTAAGGCTTTGACGCTTATTCACGGACTCGTATTTCCATTTCGAAAAGAAGGACAGGATTCCCACCTACGTGTTAGGATACATATAGAAATATATATATAGATAGATAGATATGTTGGTACGTGTGTTCGAACGAGAACGCGGCGACGGCGCCGAAGGCGTCTCCGTTTTATCGAACGACGACGACGCCACACACCATAAGCCCACACCGTTTCTATCAATGGTGTTTCTACTATATTGACGAGGTTTTCTTTTTATAATATATTTATCTCTTACTGATAAATTTAACCATTTTCTAAAACTACTACTCTCTTTTCAACCCCCATATAAAATAAATCAGTCGTTTACGTATGATTCACAAAGTTTGTGTTGAAAATGTTAGAGAAATGGGGAAAAGATAAAACGAAAAGATAGAAGAATAAGAAAATAATATGAAAATGTTTTTTCTTCAGGTAAAAAATGTAAATCACTTATGAGAGAAGGGTGCAGGTAGAAATTGGGTGGTAAGGGGATGATGGGCGGGGGGGGGGTGGTTGGGATGAGGAACAAGACTTATGCGACGTAATGCTCTTAACTTTTTCGTACGGCCATTATAACTTCGTACTCTTCTTACACTTTCTCGTATTTACTACTACTTGTGGTTTTCTACGTAAAAATAGTCAGAGAGTACTAGTACCAACCAAAGAAGAATAAAAAGAGGAAAAATGAAGATGAAGATGAAGAAAAAAAAGAAAGTAACATGGTATCCTACTACTAGTACTACTGCATGTCTCTGACATTTTATATCAAAGATACTACGATTGATCCGATAAAAGGAAAGACCAAAGCGACTGACTGACTGACTGACTGACTGACTGACTAGGCTCGTTTTGGATTTGGAAAAGAACACATTTTTGTACAATTTCTGTTTGCTGAATATACGAACGAACGAATGAACGAATGTACGATCGATCAACGGCAGAGATTTTGTTTGGAATTACTGGTGGAATTACAGTACGTTACCACGTGATTTATCAAAGAAGAGAACACAGAGAATAAAAAAATAATAATAAAAGTATAACGAAACATTTTTTTTTCCTGTTGCGAAATGGTCAATGAGAGTGAGAGAGAAGGAGAGAAAAATCCAACATAAAATTCACATTTCGTGTGTGTGTGTGTATGTTATTTTTCATCGATATGTCTCTATTGCGTTTCGTTCATCGATCTTTTCCGTTAAACCGGGCCTCTGGTCAGTCAAATCGGATTGCTGGACCGAAAAGCAGGGATTATAAATTTTTTTTTCTTTTTTTTTATGTAAAGATATAATAATTGTTTCGCGTGTTCTATTAATTAAATTTCAATTGTTCAATATTATTATTATTAGATAGATATATGTAATAATTGTTAAATATTTATTTGAATTAGAATTGAATATGTTTTTTTTTTTTTTTTTGAACGATCTATGATTCATTTGCAATTCGAGTTCATATATATATATATAATTATTTATAATTTAAAATATAATCTAAAAAATATATATATATATATATCAATTTAAAATGTTTAATATTAATTGTCAAAGTTTTGTATTATAAATTAATGTTAATTTGTTTAAAAAAAAAAAAATAAAGAAGAAATATACATTCTGCGATCCGGTTACGAGAATACTTTTGTTGCTTACGATTAACATTTCATGTACCAGATGGTCAAAATATTTTTTCTATTAAAAAAACTTATTAATAAAAGGGTACGTGAGGTATTAAAAAAAAGGGATAAGAAGAAATGTTGAAAAAAAAAAAAAAATATATATATATATATTATATATATATATTATATATACATATGTATATCTTTCTTAATATTTTAAACACCATGAATACTAGATTTACAGATTTAATATTTAAAAAAATAGATAAAAAATACAATAATAGGAGAACATAGGGAATTTCTTGGACAGATATCTTTCATTTTTTTTTTTTTTTGAATACACATGAAAAATTTTGTTATGTAGAAGACAAGAAAATGACACTAACACCCATGGAGCTTCTAACGATAACAATGGTTGCTGACCTGAACGGAAAGATGACTAATGCTACTTACCTATTCGATGATTTTTCCTTCTTTTGTCCTTTCAAAATATCTTTCTAAATATAAACAATTTTTATATATACATTTTAAGAATATTTTCTTAATCATTTCTGTCCCCATGTTTTTTTCTCGTTTAACTGTAGCGATCAAATTTCATCCCCCTATTATTATCCTTAATATTATTTTTATTCGAGTTGGGGTAATATTTATATTGTGACAAATATAATCTTGATGTATATTCAGTACGATAAAAATCTAACCATTTTTTCTTTCTTTTTTTTTTTTTATTGGGTTGTTTGGAAACAAATTTCATTTTTCTATTGTGAAATTGAAGACAATTTTTACTTCAAAGTTAAACCTAGGTCTTTAACTCTTTGTGGTAAAGAATTTCAAGTAATAAAATAACCCTTACGTTGTATAGAAATTTTTATTACGTTTTAAATGAAACAAAATTTGTAAACTTTTTTTTTATTAATAAAGATATTACATAATGTAAAAACATAAAAATATACAATAGCTATTGCAATAATATTTTGAGGTAGGACTAAAAATGTTCGACCAAAATGTGCATTGCGATGTATCAAAAAGATGGAACACTTTTAACTTCACCATGCCCAAACCAGTTAAAGTGAGCCTAAACAGTTGAATTTGATCAATTTCATTCTTTCACCTATCTCACGTGTTGTTATTTGCCAAGTTTGTAACAAGTAATGCCAAAGTTGTGTTAGGGTTGCGAAAAAATGAAATTACTTTCCAAACAACCCAATACTTTGAATACTTCAATGTTACTAACATTTCATTATGATATTTAGACAAAATAATATAACATAATAATGTTTTTCTTTTTTTTTTAATATAATTACAATCTAATTGTTTTTTACATGATTAGTGACAAAATGAGATATATATGTATATATAGAATGAGTGAGAGAGAGAGAGAGAGGGAAACGTTTAGGTAGTCTAATTTTAACAACGGGTTAATCTCATCGATACGCGTAACGAAAATCGAGTAATAATTTCATTAACGTTTGTCATTAAATTATATAAAACGCAATTTACATTGGGTACAGAGTGTGAGAGAGAGAGAGAGAGAGAGAGAGAGAAAGACTGAGAAAGAGAGAGATAGAGAGAGAGAGAGAGAGAGAGAGACGGGCGTCGATGCATAAATAACGTTGATCTCGCATTATCGTAAGCTATTAATGACCTTCGGTCCTTCTGTATATTTGTCTATATTACGCGAATAATTATGGGATTAATAATAGCGCGACGCGGTGAATAAATAGCAGCCAACGTTCTCGCGCGTTCGCGTTCGCGTTTGCGTTCACGTTCTCGTTCACATTCGCATAATAGTAGTAGTAATAGTAGGTAGTAGTAGTAGTTGGTTGGTTGGTTGGTTGGTTGGTTGGTTGGTTGCGGGGACGTTACCCAATAATGGATTACAGTGGCGTAGGATGTAATGGAATATATCGACACACCGGATGTCTCGTAGATAAATTATACGGCAGATTATTATAACGACAGTTACGTTAACATCGACCCTAATTACGATTCAATTTTAAATATATATTCAAGAAAGTATTTTTAACTATACTTAATTAACTTGATACTCATCTTTCTCTCTCTCTCTCTCTCTCTCTCTCTCTCTCTTTCTATATATATATATATGTGTGTGTGTGTGTGTGTGTGTGTGTGTGAATTGTTTTCGATCAAAAAAATTTTTTTTTTTTTCAACTTATCATATTTAATCAGTTAAC